ATGGGGGAAAGAATGATGTGTTTGATCCACGGCCATTTCCTCTACAGCAGAATTGTAATCACCTACAATTTTTTGCTGAGGATTGCAAGTTCTGATTCAAATCCATGAGCCTGTGCAATGCATTATAACAAACTCATGGAGCACCCAGAACCATTATTATAAATAGGGCTGGTAACACCACAGATTATTAAGGTTGCCCAGCACTTCCCATTATAAGATGCTGCTGACAGCTGCTTATAACTTTGACAAACTTAAACCATCTAGGTTAAAATTTTCCATGTTGGGTGTTTGCTTCGGGGTGATTACTGCAATTACTGTTATTTAATTTCAGCCAAAATGGCACAGCTATTTTTGAGAGCAAGGCTGTGAAAAATACACTGTTTTGCCCACTTCAACAAATCTGGCATCCTTCAGCACTCCCATCTTCTGAAGCAAGAGTCTAAAATTTGGCAAGAGTGTGACTGTTTGGGTCAGGGAGGTGCCTTTTGGTGCCACCATGAAAATCGGCAAAATTGGCCAAACTAAAAGTCTTTGAAAAACTGCAGTTTTCACATTCTCGGTATGGCCTTCTTAGATTTCAGGAGATAAATTCCCTGAAGATTCATTCCATCTGCACTACGCATGGTCCAGCCTGGGACTGAACAGGAATTTCTCTGCAACTGAAGCTTGTCCAGGCAGCTGAAATGAAAACAAGAGAGAAAGCCTCTTCTGTAACCTCAATGAACCTACAGCCTGGGCCCAGGCAACATGGAGGAAAAAGCTGCCTGATTCAAACATAGAAAGGATAAGAGTCAGACCATTGTGGAGGTGAGGAGGCAGGGGAAGTAGATCGGGACACAAAGGCTGGCAAGAGGCAGAAATTGAGAATGTACCCTGTCAAGATGAGGACGGGGAGAAGAAAATGGAATGAGTGGGAAATGGCGAGGGAGAGAGACAGCAACTGGCTGGTCAAGGAGACAGGGAAGGAGAATCACTGTGCGGCAGGAAGGAGCTGGGGGGAGGACAGGCAGATCTGATAAAAAGCCAATATACCAGGAAAGAGGACAAGCTGGATCAAAATGTTGGCGTAAGGAACTGAGGGGTAGGAAGCACTGAGATTGGACAACAGCCTTGAAAGGCAGATGGGGACTGGAAGCCAGTAGGGGCAGGGAATGGGGGTGAGGTGGGGAAAATGACTAGAGGCAAATGTAGGGGAGAGAAGCAGCAACTAGCACTGACTGGACAAGGAGACTGGGACAGGGATGAGAAGCCTGAGCGAGGAGATTGGGACTAGCTAGGTGAGGAGAACTGGACTGGGACAAGGATCCAGGGTGGCAGATGTAGGTGTGGTAGATTTAATGGTTTCAACCTTGCTGATGACCCAAGTTGGGGTCAGTATGATGCCACCCTATGGAATTTCTGATTTTTCAATTTGTTTGTTTTAAGAACCTAAGCAATTACACACACACACAAAAACAACCACCTATATTAAAAAAACATTATTAAAGTTGCAAATCAGGCACTCCAAGTCAGGAAATATCATAATTAAGTTTGCCTGTTTAACTTGGCTCCCTTTTGTATTATGACACAATCTTTTAATTCTATGACCACACATGATTTTTTGCCATTTTGGTACTCTGGAAAATTTCCCCCACAGAATCTTACCTCCAAACTTAGGGTTCAAACCTAGTCTGTGTCAATAGTGACAGAAAGCTATCCCCTGAAAACTCTTCGGTCTTGCTTTTCCTCCCCATTACTACAGCACCAGGGTATTTAATCAGATCATATGAAATGAGGGTATCCAGTTCCCAGTGAATATATCTCTATGTCAACAAAGCAATCACCTCCTACCCACACTGTGATCCCACAAGACAGGCCAAGACTGAATGGAAGATTAAACTTTTTTCCCAGTCAGTGCAGCTGATCCTCACAAGTCAGAACAGAAGCACACTAGCAGGGCAGGGCAAGAGAAGTTTGTGGTGCCCCAATCTCTCTCTTCTCTGTTCTGCGAACAAAGGCCGTCACTCTCCAGGGCCTGTCAATCTGGTGCCCTTCCTGAGCATTAAATTCAATATAAAAATAAACACATTTGTAATCTGTATTATTAATGGTATTATTAGTGACATGCCAGGAGAAAAGAATATTTCTCGTCTCTTTTTAAAAAGTTTGCGGCATATTATCCCTTTAGAGTCTGGCATTTAAATAGAGTTGTTTTCTTTGTTTCCAATAACACCTCAGCCACAATTACTTAATAAATTATAAATCATGATGTCGTTTTTACGTAAATGCAGTTGTGTGTTCAAACACAGGATGAATGTTTGTGTACGCAAATGAACAAAGGATATGTTCAAAGGAGGCTGCAGTTCAAATCATTCCAAACTTTAAAGTGTTTTTACCCTGCTAATGGTTAAATATTACATCATTCTTTTTTTATTTAACAATTCATAATTTGGTTTAAGTTCACCTGTTGCCAACAACTAATTTCTGTTTAGCACAGCTTCATGGAAAATATGGTCATGTGTCAGCGTATAGTTCCTGCTTGATGTTGCATATAATTCTTATAATATTCTGAATGGCATGTGCTAATTATTTAATACAATAGCTCATCTTATGGAGCTGTACGGCTGTAAAAGAAGGGTGGTAATTACTCAGAATGGGACTGTCTAGTTGTGGGGTTTTTTTATTTTTTTGTTAAAAACAAAGTGTGGGAGGGAGAAATTTAAAATGAAATGAAAAAGGACCGAGCCAGTCAACAAATGCTGAAAGGGTTAATATTCTGAAGATTTTATTACTTGTAAGTCTGGAATCTAAGGCTTCCGAGGCAGATGCTGCAGCTTAGTGACATGAGCAGCAGTTATTAAATATATGTTCAGATTCTATTTTCTCTACTGCTTTCCACTTGAAGGGTAAAATCCTTGTCTCACTGAAATTAACAGTAAAACTTTCATTGACTTCAGTGGGATCAGGATTTCACCCCTAAATTCCCTGAACAGCTCACTTTGACCATGGTTACAGCACAGGAATTTGTTAACTTCTCCCCAACCCCTTTGAATCCTGCTGTTTTACGCTGCTCTGCTTCTCCCATACTTTCCAGTGCAGTCATTTAACCAGATATTTTGCCTACAAAAGCTCATGATACTATATATTTTTGTGAGTCTCTAAGGTGCCACACGACTATTTGTTTTCAAAAGTTGTTATTTATAGACCAGCATTGGTACCCTTCTGAGACTTTTAACCAGACAGGCAAAGCTTGTCTAAGGCGATGGCTACACCACCAGCCACCACACATTGCCATGCCAGTTCTCATCTGGACTAGCACACTAAAAATAGTAACGTAGACTTAGGCACACGGGCAGTCTAGTACAAAGCCTCCTTGACCCATGGGGTACATACTCAGAGCAGCTAGGCCATGGCACCGTTGCATATGCTATGGCAGCTATACAACTATTTCTTCACAGTCTGCTCTTTTCTTAACTATCTTGAGTAGTTTAATATCAACTGCAATAAAGTTGAGAGAGTATTAAAAAAATCAGATGAATATTCCTTTTAAGTCAGAAATAAATAAACTATACTCATATTTGCAGCTCTCTTTGCACAACTACAGGACTCATGCAACCAAAATTTACACCCCAAATATTCAGGGAAAGTGAATCTTCAAGTTCCATACTCTACTAGTCACAGAGAGGCAATTTAAAATTGAACTTCCCAAATGCTTATCCAGAAAGTTTACTGTCAAGGCTATGTTCATCCAGACAGAAGACACAAACAATGTCATGGAACTTTGTGTTATCAATTACAACTTAGCCAAGCAGTTCAAATTTTCAGTTTTAGGTACGGAATTGCAAGTCGCAGAATAAACACATTCAAGAAAAACTCCATCTAATAATTTCCTATAATGAATATATTTTCAGGAACTTGTGATTTGCTCATGGACACTTGTGTAAAGAGGTGAATAATTTATTCACTCAGATCTACTGATTGATTAGAAGGTGACATTTTATATATCTAAATGTCCCACTGAGGAGTCAGGTCACTACTGATCTTGAAAATGGTTCAACAAATTTCTCTGGAATTTCTCTGAAAAGGTAGAAGCCATTAAGGAAAGCTTCAGTCCAACAGGAAACTTATACAACATTGTATCAAAGTCTAAAAACAGACTTTATAGCAAAATGTAGTCCCAACATTTACTTACAGTAAGCTTGCACCTGCTTTCATTGATGTGAACAACAGAATTGCCACAGACTTCAAATGGAACTGAACATTAAAACTATGTGCTATTTGTACTACATTTATTTTCTATAACTGATCATTCAAATTCTGTAATTATTTTTATAATACTTTATGACAATGGTGTCCAACACGCTAGCCACTAGCCACATGTAGCTATTTGACTGGTATGGCCAGTTCGCTATGGCAGTAGCCTGCTTCAGAACTGGTTGGACACCACGCTTTATGACATACTGTTAAAAAGTTGCTACAACATATAAAGTTGAGGAATATACAACTTTTGGACATTGACAAATATAATAATGAAGAGCCAGATCCTCAGCATCTCTAAAAAGCAAATATACCTAGTGAGGCTTGGGTTTCTACTTTACTATGTACCTGAGCATCTATCACGTTTGCAAGCTTTTCACTGCAAACATGAAGGCCAGAAACATTTTTTTTTTTAAATGAAGATGCAATTCTCACTTGGCTCATCTTACTCCAGAATTGAGGCCAGCTCTGCAAACTAGTATCCTACCCCCTGAATTATACTACCTCTTTTATGTCAACCTGCTTGGCCAAGCACAAAAAAACTGTTTCTAATGCTTCAATGTATTATAAGCAAACAATATAAATTAGGGTTGGGTTGTGTGTGTTTGTTATTTTTTACTTGATTTTTAAGACATCTAAACTAGCAAGCTTACTTCCAAATAGCCTCAGTATTCACAAGAATTCCAAAGTAATGTCTACATTATTTTCAGATTAAGAAAAGAAAGCTAAGAAAAAAATATTGTTGGAATGTATAGTTTTCTAATGAATTTTTGTGCCTTCATCACATATACTATTGCTTTCAATAATTAACAAATGAGATTAAATGCTAACTGGTTTAAATCTGTCAAAATATTTTAAATAAGGGGAAGAGCTCTTCTATTTTGTTAAGTATCACTATTTACTTTATTAGGTAATAACAACCTTACCTTTTGTCTACAATAGTTAATAGTAAATGGTTAGAGCTTGCCAAAGAGCAAATAAATCATTACACTAAATACAGGTTGTCAGGCTACTTTAGTACCTTGTACACTCCATTTTGCTTAGATAAATGGCTTAGAATGGGTCTTATTGTCTCTGTTATTTTCTAGAAAGGTTATGGCTTTTTTGTTAAGCATTGTTTCATATCAGAGTAATAAAAATACAGGTACTCAGATGTTACATAAATATCTAGATTTTAGACTGATGCCCCTGCTTGTTTGCAAGGATTTGATAAGATAATGTGATGAAATATCCCAAATAAATAATCCGAGTGCATATGTGATGTAAGGAGGATTGTCAGGTATTAGTAAACAAATAAACAAAATAATGTGAAGCGAGAGCTGTTTGGATACTACAGAAACAGTGATCAGAGACATTCCTTCAAGTTCTGAAAGAAGTCTGCTTTGATCATGTTGATCCACCAATTAGTATGCGCTGATCAGATTTCCAAAAGAGTTCCATTC